AGGACCTAGTTGTCCCCTCCGCTCTTGGCGCAATGTGGGGCGATATTCGGGCCCTTGACAGCTACCGGGACCTGTGTAGAGATTGCAGGCCATAGTGAGTCGTGCTCAGTGCAGTTTGTGTCCGGAGTTATGTGGAAGATGCTTGGTTTGGGAATTCAGGAAGAATTTGTTTCTCTTGGTGATTTTGAGGGAACGTTTGTCTCTCTCCCACCCCCCAATCCCCCCCCGCCCATGCTGCCTTAGAAGGGGTCTTGATAGTCCACGCTCCTTTTCAATCGTTTGTAGAAACATAGTTTTGCCTAGTAAAGGTCGGGAGAGATTGTTCAACTGGGTTTCCCACTACATTTGGGTGGGGGAGGTTTTAAGTAGAAACTCCTGGATTTCTCCCGCTGTTCCTCCCTCTGGTGGTCAGGACTTGGAGCTGTACCCATATTGAGGGTGACAGAAATATTTTCATCTCTTATTCTAGAACCAGGAAGCACTTTAAGGCCAGTGGGATGGAGGTTTGGCAGCATTTAGGAGAAAATGTTTTCTTTGTGAGTTATCTTGCCCCGTTTTTCTGCGTAATACAGTTAGTACAATGTAGGTACCATGGGATTTACCTGAGTGTCATGAAAGGCAGGAGCTAATTGCTTGGGGGTTCAGAACCCAGCAGTCCCTGGGGATGCTAATATTTAAAGCAGTGTTACTCTCTAGAGAGTTAAAAAAATGGGACTTAAATCTGTTTTAAATTCTTTGCATTTAACATTCTTTCTTAAAATAGAATGTCTTCCTTTACTGTGGATTATGAAAAGTTTACTGAATCTTCTACTCTTTCAAGGTTGGTAGAGTATTATTTGTATATGTTTGCTCTGTATTTGAGGAAGTTTTCTACGTTATGTTCTGAGAACCTTCCGTCTTGCATCCCATCAGCTCATAGGTAATTAGGACCGCAGAATTGTTAGTGACAGCCTGATCCCTCCCTCTACTATAAGGTTAGTGTGCTTTTTCCTTGTTACCAGAAAATAATTTGGGAGATACTCATTTGATACAATAAAATGCACATTTTTTTTGTGAGCACTTCATTAATGATTTAACATCAGCCCTAGCCTGAATCAATAATTGTATTGGAAGTCTTGAAATGAGTTTGTTTTTCTTTAAATCTGATTCTACATTCATTGTTAGCCTTGTATCATGCCTATTTTGTCCTGTGTTCTTAATTAAACAATTTCCCACTAGTCATCAAAAACTCTTGTGTCTAGTTTATCTCCTGTAATATTCCTGCTAACACCTCACCCGTCGTGCTCTTTCCTAAACTTGATTTTGCATTTATGCTGTTATGCTTTACAGTACATGTCTTTGGTTGGACTGGGGACAGTGTGCTAGGATTAGAGTACTATGACTAGCTTTTAGGAATGGATATTGTTTCAGCTGGTTCATTTTCATGTGATATATGAAGTGGTAATAGTTCACATTCTATGCTTACTTAGGGAGATGACTGGATGTTGGTGTAGTTGGACTGTGAGCCTTCAGAGGACAAGGGAACTAGTGGGGACTAAGAAGAATGTTAGCATAACAAGCCATCTTTTTCTCAGCAGTTTTCCTTTGGTATTTGCAGGATGATATAGTGCATAGGGGTAGGTTTTAGTGACTGTGAGATTGGAGTTCAAATCTCTGCTTCCTTAATTACTAGGTTCAAAAACTAAGTTCAGGGCCCTCCCTGGTGGCACAGCGGATTAAAGCACTGCACTAAGACGCTAAAGCCACTTCAGCACAAGTTCGATGCCCGCCTGCCCCGGAGGTGGCCCACATGGAGCAGCAGACCTCTCCTGTCCTGCCCACTGCTCCCCTCAGCAGTGTACTTCATCTGTCTGCCTGTTCTGCTCCCTGCTCTGTCTCTGGTGAATCCTCTCTCCTTGGCCTGTACCCCAGTTCTGTATGCATAAATAAAAAAAAAAACAAAAAACAAAAACTAAGTTCAGTAAATGAATCTTTATTATCAACATTTATGAACACATCCCACTTAGTTAAATGAACCTTTACATGCAAATTTTATAAATTATGTCTGTCTTCCCAAGAGTGACATCAAATAAATATTAAATAGACTGAAATAAATATAAAAATAAGTGCCTGCCTCATAACTTATAGGACACATACATGTATGTATCATCTTTGGTAGCTTTAATTCCTTTTGTTGTTACCTTATTTCCTGAGATTTTCTCTGCATTATCTTTCAACCCTTTGTGCTGAGTTTTCCATTTGTGTTTATTTTTAATTTCTGGAAATGCTTTTTCATATTGACAATGTTAATATGTAGTCTTTTGCATGTCACTAGTCCATATAGAATACTGATAGCTTTTTGGATTTTTATTTTACATTACCTATTCCTTCATTATCTCTTTCCCTTTTTCCTCTTTAACAATATTCTTTTATATCACTGTTTTAGGGTTGGACTATCTCAGCTCAGCTAAGTTAGTTAACTCTAGTCCATCTGCTTTTCAGGTTATAAAAAATTGTTTCTTAGTCTTCATTTGTTGAAAGTAAGAACTTTATTTTTATTTTTTATAGGGTTTAGAAGGGAGTAAACGGAGTTGTGTGACTGATAAGTCTACCAACGTAATCCCTATCAGGCTGTTGGTTTCTAGACATTAATATTATAGTAAAGCACTGCAGTAATTCTCTTATTTGTGGTTTAATTCTTCTTTGTCATCTCCTTACTTCTGTTAGTATCTATAAAATTGGTTCATCTTTATTTTGTTTCTGACTTTAGAGTGTGTTAAGTAAATACTCACTAAGCATGAAGCTAGCTGGGAGTTTAAATACTTTCCTGGTAATTTCAATTTCTAGGTTCATACGAACCTAATTTTGCTATTAATATCAAATATTTCTTTTTACTTCTTTTTTTTTTTTTTAAGATTTATTTTATTTATGTATACAGAGCTGGTGTACAAGCCAGAGGTGCGGGGCTGGTGAGAGGGTTCACTAGAGGCAGAGTGGGGAACAGAACAGGCAGATCAACAAGGTACACTGCGGAGTGGAGCAGCAGGCAGGTCAGGAGAGTTCTGCCACACCATGTGGGTCATCTCCCTGGCCAGGAATCGAACTTGTGGTGAGGTACCTGTGGTGAGCTTCACTGCTGAGCAAGAACCCATTGCACCACCAGGGAGGGCCCTATTTCTTTTTAATGACTTGAATTGTGAGTTCTGCATAATTGTACATTGACATATGGTTGCTGAATGGCTACTAAATTATTCAACTAATGTTTATAATACTTTAAAGATGATTTCAAGAAAATGGATGATACTGTTACAATTTAAGAATTCAATATTTTTTGCAACTTCTAAAAAGTATGATGGGGTCTCTATGATGGCACAAGGGGTTAAGTCAAAGCACTATGAAGCTGTCCCATAGCCACTGCAGCATTAATTCAATCTCTGGCCAGGGAGGTGACCCATATGGCACAGCAGACCTCTCCTGTCTTGCTCTCTGCTCTCCTAAAAAGTGTATTCTAGTGGATCTGCCTATTCTGCTCCTCTGTACCCCAGTTCTCATATGCATAAATAAATAAATCTTAAAAAAAAAAAAACTATGACACTGAGGGTCCTCTGTGGTGGCATAGGGGTTAAAGTCTCAACGATAGCAAGCTATTGCCATTGCACCAGTTGTGACATGAGTTTGATCCCTGCCAGGGAGCTAACCCACATGGCTCAGCAGACCTCCTTTTTCTTGCGCTGCTGCCGTCAATAATGTATTCATTCAGTAGGTCTGCTTGTTCAGCTGCCCACTGGTATGGGGTGAAGGGGGGAAGTGAGAAGATTCATCATAGACTCTGCTCATGGAATTAAAAAGGCATGCTTCATCTTTTTTTTTAAGTGGATGACTTCAATGAGCTGAGAATAAATAATGCTCTTTAATTTTTTAGGCAAGTTTAAGATAGGATCTAGCACTACTAGAGGATATTTTGGAATCAGCCTTAGCTCCTTTCCAGAAATTGGCATTATCTGGTTTTGGTTTTTTCAAATATAGAAATGACTAAGAGAGTTTATGTGTTAACAGTACTTATATGTCATAATTCAGTTTATTTTAGGTTTGAAATATTGCCTTGCCTTTCAAATAGGCTTTATAAATGTTGGCTTTGTTTTTATAAATTTAGTTATCTAAACAAAAATAGTTTTATGAATTAATTGCTTTTTATGTAGTAGTTTTGAAACAGATTTCTTAATCTGAATCCCCACTCTACCCTTTTCTTCACTGGAGACTTGGGCAAGTTAAGCAGTACTTAGAATGTATATGCCTTTTAAGTCTTAGTTTCCTAATTGATAACATGGGAAAATAATAGTTCCTACTTTCTTAAGTCACCATTTGTGAGTTAATATGTTTATTGATATAGCACCTATTTTACTTGTAACCTGACTATAATAGTTATTCATTTAAATTAGTCAGGAAATTTTTCCCATAGAAATGTTACATAACATGAGGTGTTTAAAATGGAATTATGACTGCCATACGAAGTGAGGTTTTTTTTGTTTTGTTTTGTTTTTTAATGCTTACAGAACTGGGGTACAGGCCAGAGGAGTGGTAGGTGAGAGGATTTACCAGAGACAGTGGGGAACATAACAGCAGATCTGCTGAAATATACTGTTAGAGGGAGCAGTGTGTGGGTCAGGAGAGGGCCTCCTGGCCAGATATTGAACTTGTTCTGCAGTGGCTTCAGAGAGCTTCATAATCCATAAAGCTTCAGAGTGCTTTAATCCATTGCACCACCAGGGAGAGCCCTGAAATGAGTTTTCTTATCATTCAAAACTCCTATAGTTCCTACTTCCTTCACTTTCTTGAGTTTTCAAACAAAAAATATGGAGCCCAGTATGTATAAACTTACCTCAGAGTTTCATCTGTCATTTCTATATACTTATAAACATTTCAGTTGTACCTCTCTTGGCTTTGAGAGAGAAACGATTTCTTATTCATGCTTAGTTTTAGTGCCACCTGTGCACATATCTTCTCTCAGCTGTTTAAAAGCCTTGATCCAGTGTCTATTCACTTAAGATTCTTCAATTATGTCTTTCTGCAGGATCCTTTCCTTTGTCATACCATGCTGATTGTAGGTACACATAATGTTTGTTGAATCTAAAAAGTGGTTAAGAATTGGGGACTTAGGGTTAAAAATACTGAGTTCTTTTTGATTTTTTTAAAAAAGAGATCTATGCAAAATGATGTAAAAATAAACTATTATATTATTAAAAAAAAAGATTTATGTAGACAAGAGCTGGAGTGGAGGCCAGAGATGTGGGGTGGGAATGGGGTGGGCTGTGAGAAGATTTATAAGGGGAGCATACCAGGCAAACTGAAGTACACTGCTGTGGGAAGCAGCCAATGAGACAGGAGAGGTCTGCTGTGCCATGGTTAGTTCCCTGGCCAGGGCTAGAACTCTGCTTATAGCTTCCTAGTGCTGAAATTTAACCCTTTGGCCACCAAGAAGACCCCAAAGCGCTGAGTTTTAGTCCTGTTTGGGCTTATCTCAAGTATTTTCATTAGCTTCTTTTTCCTGATCTATAAATAACACCTCTCCCATCAGATTATTTCCATAATATTACAGAAAACCTCTAGCCTAATGTCTGACAATTCCTGGACACGAACATGAAACATTTAGAAAGACTTAATCATACAGTTATGTTGAAAGAGAATTTGAAAATGACAAAAGATGGTAGGGATATAGGAATTGGATAATATCATAGTTACTTTAGTAGATAAAAATATATAGGGCATAATTATTATATTGGATCCAGGAGAATTATTTTGTTTTAAATTTCAAAGAATGACTTGGAACCTTTTTCATTGTAGTGAGTGAATAGATTAGATCAAGTACTGTAAATTGAGGAAATTTTTTTTTTTTTAAGATTTTACTTATTTGTGCATACAGAACTGGGGTACAGGCTAGAGGCTCAGGGGCGGTGAGAGGCTTCACTAGAGACAGAGTGGGGAATAGAACAGGTAGACCAACGAAGTACACTGCTGAGGGGAGCAGCGGGTGGGCCAAGAGAGGTCTGCCACACCATGTGGTCACCTCCGGGGCAGGTGGGGATCGAACTCATGCGGAAGCGGCTTTAGATTCTCAGTGCTGTGCTTTAACCCGCTGCGCCACCAGGGAGGGCCAATTGAGGAAATTTTTTAAAATAACCACCAAAAATTGGGTAATCAATTTCCATCAAACATTGAAGAAGTAAGCATTGAAGAAGTAAGCATCAAACATTGAAGAAGTAAGCATTAGTAACAGAAAAGGAACAACAGAATGTGTGCCAATTCTTTTCCCTTAAAATTAGATAAAATCACAAAGAATTTTAAATTTCATTTGCTATTTCATTGCAATAAAATGTAATGATAGAACTATTTTTTCTTTTCTGTTTCTTATAGGTTCTTTAACATGGATAAATGTTCAATGGAAGGATTAGAGTTGACTAAACACACTCCTTTTTCGTTAGGGAGTAGTCTCATGGATGTAGGAAATTCATTTGGTGACTCTACAAGTTCTTTAGTCAGTACATCTAGAAATTCATCTTTAGAAGAGGATGATGATGATGTTGTATTTATTGAATCTATACAACCTTCTTCAACTTCTGCGCCAGCAGTAGCTGATCAGAGAAACTTTGCATCATCAAAAAATGAAAAACTCCAAGGAAGTTATTCCATAATATTTCCATCTTCAAGAGATTTGGCGCCTAAGACGGGAAATATAAGTGAGACAATAGTTATCGATGATGAAGACATAGAAACAAATGGAGCAAATAAATATTCTTCCAGTTTTATTGAATGGGGACTTCCTGGAACTAAAAATAGAACCAAAGATTGGGATTTCTCCACTACCAGTCTTTCAAGAAGTAAGGTAAATGCAGAAGTGGGTAATAGTGTTATCACTACAGAATTGACTCTGAAATTCATATTACTAATGTTACAACTTTAGAAACAAGTTATAAGCTCTGAATGCTGAGCAAGATATGAACTTAATGATTATGACTATAGAATACCAACTTGGGAGATATCACTAAAGGACTTCAGTCAAGTAATTTTGGTGTTAATATACAAACATACACCCCATCTTTAACTTCACAGACCAAGACGGGAGTAGAACCTTTTAATCCTGGTAGAATGAATATGTCAGAAGATGTAATACAGAATGGAGGATTTTCAGCTCATCATAGTCCTGGTAAGCCATAAATTATTTTAGATATTTTCCTTCTCGAGTAAGTAAACTTTTGACTATTATTTCTAGTACCTATATCTGGTTTTTTTACATTATATATGTAATATATAGAGATTCTCACAGTTACAGTGTTTCATTTACTAAAACGATATAGTTCACGAGTTTCTAAAGTTCAGAAAAGCTTACAAAATCTTTACATAGAAAGTGTTTAATTAAAAATCTCTGTAAAAGGCCTCCCTGCTGGTACAAGAGGTTAAGTCTCAGCACTATGAAACTATTGACAACCACTGCAGCATAAGTTTAATCATCAGTAAGGAGCTAATAACCTACATGGCACAGCAGACCTATCCTGTCTTGCGTGCTAAATCCCTCATCAGTGTATTTCAGTCAGCCCATCTGCTCTGTTCCCCACTCTGTCTCTAGGCCTGTGCTCCAGTACTTCTGGTAAAAAATAAATAAAACTAT